CACACACTCACACACATCTTCACACACTCACATCTTCACAAACACACTTACACTCACATACATTTTCACACACACTCACACACATCTTCACACACTCACATCTTCACACACACCTATACACACACTCACACACATCTTCACACACACTTACACACACATCTTCATACACACATATATCTTCACACACACTCAAATCTTCACACACACACATTCATGTTCACACACATCTTCACTCACACACACACACACACTCACACACACACACACACTCACACCTTGTCCTGTTTCACTTACCCTGTCACCCCCAGAACTGCTCCAAGGCCCCCTGCTCTCCTCATTGCCCACCTCCAGGAGAGGGTGCACTTTCTCCCTGGATGGTTCTGGATTTGAAATGCAGCTCAGTCTCTGCCCCCTTTTATGCTTCCCTCTAAGCAAGTTCAAAGTCCTTTACAGGTTTCCTGAAGAATCTCTTTCTCCACAGCTGTAGAGAGTAAACAGATGGGACGGGAGAAGTCTGAAGACATGAAACTGGAGTTCAAAGCTGTATGCGTCAACAGTTCCTGAACCAGGAAGAGATTGCAAGGTATGGGAAATGGCCGTGTTCTCTCTGGGCTACAGCTAGGGAGGAAGCCGGTGGTCTCATCTAAAGGCCAGGCAGGCATAGCTGCCTGCTAAAAACAGGTTCTGCCTTCCCAGGAGCCTGGAAGGATACCAAGGTGGGTGGTGAAGGTGCGGTTTTATTTTTAGAGAAACTGCCTGGATCTGAGTTTGCCGACAGGGTTTTAGCTCGTGGAGCAATGTTCCCTTAGGGTGGGTAGCTGTGTGCCTGTTCAGAAAGAGCCCAAGACAGTGTGGCTGGTGCTTGCTATTTACTATTGCAAGTCTTATTACTGACTCATGGTGCCAGCTGAAGGCCCAGCCCCGGGGAAAGTACTCTGTACCATCCGTGTTGTTTGTCTCATTCCTGAACCAAGTGAGAACAACAAGTACTTGTGCTAGGTGTGTGTGTGTGTGTGTGTGTGTGTGTGTGTGTGTATGCTTTTGAGCCATACACAAGCACCAGTGATCCAACCACAGGCTGGAATGTTTGGCTTGGGACCTGGGCCCCAAACTTGTTCCATGTGTTCCCTGCAAGTCCCCCTTGGAGGAGGGTAGTTCTCCCAGCTGGTGCAGACTCCCAGGAGCAATCATACCTTTGTGGTTTCCAAGCAATCCTTTTATAGACATACAGTAGTAAGTCTTTCCTGCAAGGCCCTGCTGCGCAGGTGCACAGTCAACTACGACAGCCCCAATGCAACAGCTGCAACTCAAGGGGGCTGGGCACACGGGCCCCACCTGCTGAGCTTCCTCCCATCCTTCCCTCTGCCTCTCCCTGCATCCTCCTGGCACCTAGCAACCTCTAGGGCTCCATAGGACTCATTAAAGCTACTAATCTGTGTTACTTCTTTGGCTGTTTTTATTGTTATTTACCTGTGTAAAAGCTCTCACTCCTCAGCCCAGGCTGGGCTTCAAATCCACAACAATCTTCTTGCTTTTGAACACAAGTGCTGAGCCTCCATGCCCAGATCCTTGGCTATTTATAAATCGCCGATTAGAGATGAAGACATGGAAACCCAGGACAATATGATTGAATGAGTCACCTTGCCAGGCTTACATACCCCTCATCATTACCCTGACTAAATTCTCTCTGGTCTCCATAACCGCAGGCAGGGAATGCCTCCTATGTTTTGTTTGTTTCTTTGTTTTTAATGCATATGTGTGTTTGCCTAGAGCATATGTGCACCTGTGTGTGCAGAAGAAAACTGGATTCCCCAGGATTGGGGTTACAGGTCTTTGTGAGCCAGCATGTGAGTTCTGAGCCCAGGTCTTCTGCAAATGTAGTAGTACTCTCAACTGCTGAGCCATTTCTTCAGCTCCAACACTTGCTTTTTTAAAAAAATTGATTAAAATATATGGTTTTGAGTTGAGCATTGTGGTATATACTTATAAATCCAGCACTTGGGAGTCTGAGGCAGGAGAATAGCTGTGAGTTCCCGGCCTGTCTAAGCAAGGCCTTGCCTCAAAAATAACAAAGAAGTGTTTTTTTCCCCTTTACCTTGCTGCTCTTAGACCCTGAGAGGAGCATCGTGGCCATATTGTCTTCTTACCCTTTCCTCTTTGTGCCAAGTCCTTCATAGGGACCCCACCTTCTGGTCATTAGCCTGACTGCTGCCTGGTTGTCATTGCCTCCCCTTCTCTTCTTCACCTCAGGGTAACTTGCTCTCATACTATGGTTCTAGAGTATTCTCTGTTTTTGCATACTTGCAATGGGAATGGGTAACAGTTGCCCAGAGATACAGCCTCTGCCACGCCCTTCCTCACTCATCTGGCCCATCCTCATCATCTTCAAATCCTTTTCTTCCTCCTTCCTCTCCTCATACGCTGCGCTCTGCTGCTTTTTTCCATCCTTACGGTCCGAACAGCACCCTCTCCTCTGAGGTCCTCTCCCTTTCTCCCCGTCTTCACTGGATGGTCCTTCCATCTCAGTTTCGTCCTCTGTGCCACCGAAAAGCAACCGTTTCTTCCCAGGAGTCTTCCTGGAGAGCAGCGGAGTTTCTATTCTCCCCTGTACTCAACACATTCACCCTAACTTAGCGCAGAACCCACCAGTACATTGGACTGGGCGTCCTGCCAGACTGGAGTTTATTTTGCGATTTCGTGCTGAGCTCTGGGGTCTTCCTGATTTGTTTTGTGGTCTGACCATCCCCTGCTCAATCCACAGAACCACGCTGCCTGAGACAGAGCTTCATCCAGAACACAAGGAGAAGGGTCCGGGTGCTGGGCTGCACTCTGCACAGGGTCAGAGCGACTGTGGGTACCCAGGCCCAACCTGGACGAGTGAGGTGAGGGCACCAGCTTGCCTTTCAGGCTCTCTCATTTTCATGGACTTCCGGGCTAGGAGAGCCAGATCTTTCCAGCTTGCATCCGAACTGGGCTCAGCGATGCTGACTTTCCCGACGGCTCTCTACCTCCTGTCCCATCCCTTTCTTTCCCAATATACAGAAAGGGGCCGACGGCATCTCAGGGCCTGTCAGCCAATTCAGTGAGAAGGAAACATTAAACACTCCAAACGATGCTTATTGGAGCTGGGTAAACTCAGCACACCACAGTTTACTTTGCTGTCAGAAATCCCCGAGCTTGCCACAGAGCAGAACCCCAGCGGCTGAGGGCTCCCATCATCCCTGCTTTGCATCACCACCCACCAGAAGGGACCCACTCTTTCAGCCCAGGCTCTCCTCAGCCCCTCCGCCACTGGTTCTTTTCTGGTCTTCCCTTTTCTTCCCTTTACTCTCCCTTCCTTTCCACTCTGGTCCATGAAGACTTGGTACTGGGCAGGAGACATGCATTCCTGAGGGTCAGCGAGCCTAGAGCACGTGCAGATGAGTTCCAAGGACCCGCTTATCCCCCCTCCCCATCACCACCACTTAAAGCCCTTGGGCTGTGTGTTGTTGATTTTGTACCGGTCAGAAATTCAGGCCAAGGGGAGGAACTGGTACCAAGGGGCCACAGGCATGTGGGGACATTTGGATAAGAGCATTCACGTGGGTTCTTTGAGGACTTGAGGATGTATGCATCAGGAAATCAGGATAGCACTGATTTGAGACCTTGCTTCACATAAACGCAAATATCCTCAACAAAAAGAGCTCCAACCTCCCGGAGGGCCTCCCTGACCCCCACCTCTCTGGAGAAATTTGCAGCCTGGGCCAAGGTTTTCTTTCTGGCTCCACTTGGAAGTACAAACCTTGTGGGCTTGAGATGAAACATATGCTGCTCCGGAATGTGGCTAGTAGCCAAGGGTGTACTCAGAGGCCCCTGTAGAATTCTCAGCCATCTGCCTGGGAGGGGACTGGGAATGCGGGGCAGAGCATCCGAGGCCAGGAAAGGGCAAAGGAGGCTGGGGTCACCTTCCTCCTCGGCATCCCACTTAGCACCGGTGCATCTTTCAGCACTAGAGTGGATCTTAATGCATTGTACTTCCTTTCCTGGCAAGCCCTAAAACCAGCTTCGACCTCAGATGCCATGGCCTCCAGGGGCTGATTCCAGAAGGAACAGGTGCCGATTAGCATGGCATTTTGCACAGCCCTTCAATGTTACTCATTTCATGCCAAGTGGCACAAACCATTTCCTCTCCTCCTGCCACCTCCCCTGGGAACCCATACCATTTTCCAACATCCCTTCCTAGCTCCACAGACTATCCTCACCTGCCAAGGCTTTGCTTCGCGTTCCCATTGTTCTTCCCAGTCCACCTGGACACCGTCCTGTTAGAGGAGCGCTTGACCCAGCTGTCCCTCGCTGGTGGGGCTGGAGAGCATGCGTTTAGAACCATCCTCATCCCCAGAAAGACCCTGCCTTTCTGCCCCCCCTCTCGCTGGTGGGGCTGGGTGGGCTGTCACAGGAGAGAAGTAGCTGGCCGAGACCCTAACAAATACATGGGGCAAACATCCCCGATCTAATGTGTTTCTGGGATGTTGTGGGGGGTGTGTGAATCAGGTGGGAAAGGACAAACAGCCTACTAATTATTATTCACAATAGCCTTATTATTTACATATTATGCAAGTCTGAGAGTTCGAGGAAGAAAGCGAAGGCCAGGCAGTTCTGTGGGTCAAGGCCAGCTAGATCAGAAGCTAAGCTCCAATTCCGTGCTCTTTTCACGGGACACCTCGGGAAGTGCTCTTTAGAGAAACGTCACCGTTTCCTTCAGTTGGCAATGACACAGCAGCTGCTTCAGTAGAACTGTGCGTCGCCAGCATCCGGGCTCCGGCCCGGTGTGCCTTAAGATGGGTCAGTCACTTGGGGTGGATGTTAGTGTTCCCTTTGGCTGAACCCCGAACTGCAAGGGGGTACACCAGACACACCGCTGGGAGGGTACCGCCCAGGCTGCTACTCAGAGCATAGTTCATTCTCCCTTTCAGGCTTTGTTATCTGTTTTGTTATTGTATGGTTGGGTTTGGGTATTTTTGAGATGAGGTTTCACGGAAGCCACACTGACTTCAAACTCACTGTGTCTTTCATTTCCTGACCCTTCTGCATACACTTCCCAAGTGCTGAGGTTACACCTGAGAACCACTCTGCAGGCAGCCTCCTCTATCTATCTTAAACATATTTTGGTTTTTAATATCTTCTTATTTTATTTTCTTTCTTTCTTTTTTTTTTTTTTTTTTTTTTGTGGTTTTTCAAGACAGGGTTTCTATGTGTAGCCCTGACTATCCTGGAACTAACTCTATAGACCAGTCTGGCTTCAAACTCACAGAGATCTGCCTGCCTCTGCCTCCCGAGTGCTGGAATTAAAGGCGTGCACCACCACCACCGCCCGGCTATACCTTCTTATTTTTGTTTTCATTTTCTTTTATGAGTATGGGTGTTTTGCCTGCTTGTATGTCTATGTACCACTTGTATTTCTGGTATCCTTGGAAAGCAGAAGAGGGTGTTAGATACTCTAGAATAGGAATTACAGATGGTTGTGAGCCACCATGTAGGTGATGAGGAGTAAACCTGGGTCCTTTGGAAGAGCAGCCAGTGCTTTTAACTACCGAGCTAGCTCTCCAGGCCCTTAAACAAGTTTTCACATGTATTTATTTATTTAGCATGTATATACATGCATGTTTGTCACATGTCTGTGTGGAGGTCGGAGGACAGCTTGTGGGAGTTGGTTCACTCCTTCTACCATTTGGGTTCTGAAGACCAGAGTCAAGTTGTGAGATTTAACAAGAGTAAGGGTCTTGACCTACTGAGCCATCCCTCTCACCCCTTAGACATGCTTTTACCATGTGTTCCAGCCCTGAATCCCAGATGTTTCACCTAGGAGTGATACTCAAGACCAGCCAGTATGCTGGCCAGAAAAAAAAATTGTTTTTCTCTCTTAAGAATTTAAAGTCAGGCGGTGGTGGCACATGCCTCTAATTCCAATACTCAGGAGACTGAAGCAGGGGAATCTCTGTGAGTTAGGGGCCAGCCTGGTCTACAAAGTGAGTTCCCAGACAGTCAGAGCTATAACATAGAGAAACCCTGTCTCAAAAAAATTGAAGTAATAAAAACATAAATCTTATAATCATTGGCTTGTAGGGAGCTAAACGAAACTTCCATGACAATAAGGATATAATTTAAAGCCACACTGAAACCTGATACTTCCTTTGTTTGAAATTACTTCATTGTTACTACAATGATCACGTTCCATATGAACTTTTGGGAACAGACTTCTGCACCTTGTGACTGGAAGAGCTTTGACCGGAAGTGATGAGATAGAAAGCACTTTAGCATGGGACTCCATAGAAACTCAACTCAAGAAAGGCTCATCCCTAATGTGAGGCAAGGGATGTTCCTGCTTTGCTTAGGCAGCGACCTGAGCTCTGGGGTAGAGAACTGGGAGTTGATGCTATCCAATGGCATGTGTTACCAAGGGGGACAAGGCAGGCACAGGCAACCGCTTCTTAAGTCCGTTTCCTTCAGGAAAAATACCCTCTGTGTCATGATGCAGCTTCCTGAGATACACTGTCATGAAGGATACATAAACCCAGTGGGAAAACAGCCAGCACAATTATTACTGTGACTAGCATTATTCTTTTCCTGGCAGGGAGAGAGAGAGAGAGAGAGAGAGAGAGAGAGAGAGAGAGAGAGAGAGAGAGAGAGAGAGAGACTATTTAAGATAGAGGGTGGAGGTTACCAAATAGTTGACAGGACATAAGTTCCAGGGGTCAAAGGCATAGCCCACTGTAAGTTGGCTTAAGTAGGGGCTTAGAAGGAGGTCATGTATACCCCCATACTGGCTCCAAGAAGAGATAGGCTAGTCCCAGCTCGGGTCTCCCAGGCACTTTCCATCTGGAAGACAGAAGTGTGTCTTGCAGCAAAGCTCCATCTGCCCACCAGATGAACAATACCTGTAAAAACATCCCACATCAAGCCTTGTGGCGTTAATGCCTCTCCCAGAGCCTACTGGGAAAAATGATGCCAGGCCTGCCCTTCCCAAGTGGCCCAGAGACTCCCGCTATGGAACAGGGAATGGGGAATCGGCTGCCGCCCGCAGACATTCTGGGGCAGGTCCTAGGGAACAAGGTGGGCAATTAGAGAATAAAAGCAATTCACAAACGTGTCAGTAGATATGGGCTAATTTTATAGTATTAGTTAGAGTCGCGATCTCCTAACCCTTGCCAGGGCCTCCGGAAGCCAGGCCTCCAAACAGACACAACTTCACTTGTTGCCGCCCTGAGGAGCGTGGAATTCTTTCCTGGGTTTACAGAGGAAGGAAATGCAGCTCCCAGAGGGTACATTTTCAAAGATCACAGGGCTGCCACCAAGCCTGCCACTTCATATCCGAGTGAAACAGAGCAACCTTCCAGATAGCAGGGGCGGGTAAAGGGAAGCAGGGCTCGAAGGGAGCAAGGGAGCAGCAGATTCGGTCCTAGTTCCTGGAACTGAGCTGCCGAGGACAGAAAAGCTCAGCGTGTAGAGTTGCTACAGGCGCCGTGAATATCTTTTTTAATAAGCACGCCAAAGCTTGACTTTCCAAAAATGCATGCCATGCCTTTGAGAGTGGGCCCCTTGGAAAGCTGCGCTCCTTTGGAGCTGCTCTTTGGCAATGGCCTTCAGGGCTCAACGCACACTCCTTTGAAAGCCTTCCGTTGTAGCAAATCTCCCTTTTCATTCTCTGAGCAGATCTGATTGTTGGGCAAGGTTCCAGGAGTCATGGCAGATTTGGGTGAGTCATCAAATTGGGTTGTCTTCTTCGGGAGTCCAGATGAGGTATGACCCTAAGGCAGAGGCACAGCGAGAAACAACCACGGGGTACTTGGGACTGAGTTGAGAGATGAGCACCAGAGCCCTGGAGCAACTGAAATGATGAGACTCT